TTACACCTCAATCAAAGCAGAGAAGGAACTAGGTGAACCAAGAGAGGGACTTATATAGTACATGCTATTGGTGTCATTGGTGCTTTGTTCAGATCCCTTTTCAGAAGTGTGCACATACCCCTTGCTCCTGTGAGTGTTGGTTGCTCATTGCTCACATTTACTGCTTTCTTCAGGTTATCATTCTCAGCTCAACTAGAATTGCCTCACCAAGATTGCAGTCCCTGGTCCCCAGGAAGCAGGCCATGGACATATACCAATGCTCTTACTTTCTGACGTTAAAATCCCCATGGGACTTTGTCCTAACTTAGCTCCTTTCCCCACCTGCCCTGCTTTTCCTCACTACCAGTCTCCCAAGAGAATCTATTAATAAATTACATACATCTGAATCCCTCGCCTGGCTTTGCTTATAAGGAGTCCAACATAAGAAACCTGCAACTCTCATTTTTTGTCTATTTCATCAAGAAATTTACTTGTGAAAGGAGTGAGCTCATAAAAAGAGAGTAACTATATGTTTTATTCATTTTTTTATTCTTTCATATTCTATGGTATCCAAGTAACACAGTTTGAATACTAAATTGTTAGTTTGCGTGTATGTATGTGACAGTAAGTTATGTCACTTTTCAAATGTCCGTGAAATCCAACATGTGTCCCTCAATTTCTCCTACTCTGACCACTACATCTATAACTTATATTATTTATAATAATATCATGAGGTAGATATCATTGTCACTAATTTATAGATGAGGAATACGAAGATAAGAAAAGTTAAATATCTTATTCAAGGACATACAGTTTATAAGCAGTATAGTTGTGATTCAAATCCATATCTCCTAATTCTAAGGCCAGTGTAAACTGTACTCTGCCATCTCGAGTGGAATCTGTTTTCTTCCCTGTACTCCACCATGCTTATAGAAGCAGCATCTACCGTCTTCTGAGAATTTCTCCTTCTTACACTCCGAAAATGTGCTTCCTTATAGGAGTTGATATTTTTCACTATATCTCCAAACCCCTATTCCCTGCCATGTAAAGCCAGTCAGAATCTTTTTCAGGAATTTTCATAATAAAATAATAAAAAAGAGTTATGCTTTCATTGTGGTAGACTTAGAAAGATGATATGCTTAGAATTGTTAATAGTCATGTTTTCCATGAGATGAGTGGTCTCAGACTATAATAAGCATTTGGATTAAATTATAAACAAGGAAATGCAAAAATCCCCCCAAACCCTCAAGTCTCTGGTTCCATGTTTTTCTGAGGCTCAGTGACAAGGAGAGTAGTTGATTTTTCTCCTTTGATTCCACAGCGTAATAAAGACCTCCCTTTTTACTTTGTTGGCAGTCTTCAAAGAGAACTCCTTGCGTGAGGTTCTACATTGAGACCCAGCAATTACCCCTCTCCTTAGTTCCCGGTGCCCCAGGTAAGGCTCTGGTGACCGTGGGAAAATGGAATGGAAATAATAGAGAGGATCATAAAGATGACCAGTCTTCTTGGACTACTCTTCCTTCATGTAGATGTTGCAAGAAGGTAAATAGAGAACTGAGGAAAGCTATCCATCTCCACAATTCTGTCCACTGTAACAAATTGCAGTATAAAAGTTCAACTCCCTAGAAAATACCCAGTCCTCAGAGATAAGCAGTGATATTTTTGTCCTGGATGCTTGTATAAATAACCAAGAGATTCAGGTTGCTACCTAGACTTTCTTGATAGCCCAAGGCTATCAAGAAATTTTTCTAGCAATAGGAATATTCTTTGGAAGAGGCAGGAAGGGAAAGAGAGACTGAGGTTGGTAGTGAAAATGCAGGGCGGGGTCATTACGACGCATGTAGGTCTCTATATTACTTCTCTTTTTGGTGCTGTTCTCTATGCTGTTTTCCTTCTATCATATATCCCTATATTACCTTTCTGCCTCTCTTTCTTCTTCTTTGTTCCTTTTGCCTTCATTAATTTGACTAATTCTTAGTTATAGGATGAAACTATGTGTGTATTCTTATCTCAATGCCTACCTTTAAGAGCTAATGTTCCCTTAAGTCTTGGAAATGATCATTGAGTAAGAGCTCCACTGGGGGTAAGACACAGTCAGTCCTGATCAGTCATGTCTACTATTGGAGAAAAACTTGAGCCTGGAGGGCCTGATGGTGTCCACATATGCAGGTAGTTGGTGAGTTATTGGTGATTCTTTTTTTTTTTTTTTAAAGATTGGCACCTGGGCTAACAACTGTTGACAATCTTCCTTTTTTTTTTTCTGCTTTATCTCCCCAAACCCCCCCATACACAGTTGTATATCTTAGTTGCATGTCCTTCTAGTTGTGGGATGTGGGACGCTGCCTCAACGTGGCCTGACGAGTGGTGCCATGTCCGCGCCCAGGATCCGAACCCTGGGCTGCTGCAGTGGAGCGCTTGAACTTAACCACTCGGCCACGGAGCCGGCCCAATATTGGTGATTCTTAATTGGACACATTTGAGAGAATTCAGTGCTCGGATCAGTCAGCTTACAAATAACCAACTAGGGTATAAGTAAATATTATTTGGAAGTCAATGTTAATTACATAAATCAGTTTAACCATCAATGTTAGTAACTGATTGGGAGTACATCCATGTTTTAATTAGATTGATTTAATTAGAGCCACTAGGTATGAGAGATTGGTAATAGAAAATAAAAGATAGATAAAAGATAAAAGATAAAAGAAAAAGATAGAAGATAAAAGACAGAACTGAAAATGAAGTAATGAGAGTTTAGGAAAAACGAAAGTGAGAATTCTAGGAGAAACAAAAGATTGATTATTGAGATGGAAGGGAAATATCAATTAAACAGAAAGATGGGAAAAGACATTTATATTTATTGCTCACTAATATTTATTTTGCATTTAGTATAATCTAAGGATTCTACATTTATTGTCACTTTTATTTTTCACATGTCTGTTATGACAATCAATGTTTAATATGCATCCACCTCATTAGACTATAAGATAAGAGTTCAGGAATACTATCTGTTTTCCTTTTGTTTTAAGATTTAAGTTTATTAGAGCAGTTTTAGATTTACAAGAAAATTGAGAGGAAGATACAGAGATTTCCCATATGCTCTCTGTCCCCACACATGCATAGCCTCCCTCATGATCAACATCGTTCATCAGAATAGCACATTTTTTTACCAAAGATGAACTTGATTGACAAATCAATCACCCAAAGTCCATAGTTTACCTTAGGGTTCCCTACTCTTGGTATTGTACATTCTGTGGGCTTGGCAAAAGTATGATGACATATATCCATCATTATAATACCATACAAAGTATTTTCTCTACCCTAAAAATCCTCTGTGCTCTGCTTATTCATCTCCCCCATCCATCCGCTCCTGGAAACCACTGATCTTTTTATTGTCTCCATAGTTTTGCCTTTTCCAGATCTCATATAATTGGAATCATACAATATGTAGCCTTTTCATATTAACTTCTTTCATTTAGTTAATATTCATCTAAGGTTCCTCCATGTCTTCTCATGGGTTGATAGCTCAATTCTTGTTAGTGCTGAATAATATTCCACTATATGGATTATCACAGTTTATGTATCCATTCACCTATTGAAGGACATCTTGGTTGCTTCCAATTTTGACAGTTATGAATAAAGATACTATAAACATATGTGTGCAAGTTTTTGTGTAGATATGTTTTCCACTTCTTTGAGTAAATACCAAGGAGCATGATTACTGGATTGTATGATAAGAGTGTGTTTTGTTTTGTAAGAAACTGTCAAACTGTCTTCCAAAGCAGCTGTACCATATTGCAGTTCCACCGCAATGAATGAGAGTTCTTGTGTCTCCAAATTCTCACCAGCATTTGGTGTTGTTAGTGTTCTCGATTTTGTCCATTCTAATAAGTGTGCCTACTTTTTTACTACTATATTCATTGCATTTAGCACAACCATGTGTGATTTAAAGAAGCAAGAAATATCAGATTACTGAGTAATGGAAACAAATATGATTGTCCTTAGGTAAACTTTAGGAACTGAGAAAAGAGTCACTTCCAAGTTTCTCTCTTCTGTCTTCTGACACCAAATACAGTGGAGTAGTAAACTCCATAAAGTTTAGAAATATAACAATTACATGGGGTCAGAACATACCTGCAGACTTCAAGCACCCTTCTTTGGGGCTCCCTGAGTGGGTTGATCCTGTGGGATTGCATAATACATTTATCCATACAAAGTATTAAGTAAGCTTCAATTCTAGTAAAGATGATATAATCCAAAGAGAACTTATTTTTATTATTCACAAATGATGAGGTTTGTATACTTAGAGTTCCACCCATTTCCTCATTTATATAGATATCATAAATTCCCATTTGTTAAATCAATGAACACATAATATGAATGGTGTATCCAAAATAAGTGTGCTGAATTTTTTTCCTATGATATAAAACTTATTCACAATAGAGAGGAGAAAAAACTAGAAGTCAGTACTAGAAACAGACAAAGAGTCTTGGATTTAGGTGAGATCGAGCTAGACATTCAGGTAAGCTTTAGCAGAAGATTCTGACCAAGGTAATGAGGGATTAGAAAATATTGGAATTAGAGTACCCAGAAGAGAAGTTTACTAAGAAGGGATACAAGTTGAGCACTATTCTATTCAAAGACTGACTTCTTAGTTTTCAAATGATATGGCAAAAATAAATTTTGTAGTCTGGAGCTGTACTATCCAATACTGTAGCCTATGGTTAGCTTGATTTAGGATGTTCTGTAAGTATAAACTACAAACTGGATTTTGAATAATTAGCACAAAAAACGTAAAAATAGCTCATTCATGATCCTCACACTGATTACCTATGAAATGACAATATTTTGGATATAGTGGATTAAATATAATATATTATTAAAATAATTTCAACTCTTTCCTTTCTACCCTTTTTAATGTGGCTACTAGAAAATTTAAAATAACATAAGTGGCTCAAATTATATTTCTACTGGACAGTTCTGGTCTGCAGAGATCTTTTTCTGCTTCTCCTCAGGATTCCACCATGTGGTCCAACATCAGTGCTGTCCCTTTTCTACTGACTGGCTTCCCAGGTCTGGAGATATTTCATCGTTGGATTTCCATCTCCTTCTTTGTCATCTATGTCTCCATACTTCTCAGCAATGGCACCCTTCTATTCCTTATCAGAGAAGAACACACTCTTCATGAGCCGATGTACTACTTTCTGGCTATGCTGGCAGCCACAGACCTTGGAGTGACTTTGACAACAATGCCTACCGTGCTTGGTGTTCTGTGGCTGAATCACAGGGAGATCAGCCATGAGGCCTGATACTTCCAGGCCTATCTAATCCACTCATTCTCTATTGTGGAGTCGGGAGTCTTACTTGTCATGGCCTATGATCGTTTTATTGCCATCTGCAATCCCCTGAGATACACCTCCATTCTCACCAACACAACCGTGGTGAAGATAGGTCTTGGGGTTCTAATGAGGGGATTTATATTTATTGTGCCCATAATCATCACCCTTTCTCAATTCCCCTACTGCAAATCTCATGTCCTCTCCCATGCCTTCTGTCTGCACCAGGATGTGATCAAACTGGCCTGTGCTGACATCACCTTCAACAGACTCTATCCTATAGCTGTGGTCTCATTAACTGGTTTCTCGGACTCTGTGCTTATCCTTATCTCTTATATCCTAATTCTTAAGACTGTCATGGGAATTGCCTCAGGTAAAGAGCGGGCTAAGGCTCTAAATACTTGTATCTCCCATATTAGCTGTTCTGGTTTTTTATGTCACTGTCACTGGGCTGACCCTCATTCATCGATTTGGAAAATATGTGTCACATGTAGTGCATATTATCATGAGCTATGTCTACTTCCTCTTCCCCCTTTTGTGAATTCAATAATCTATAGTATTAAGACCAAGCAGATACAGAATGGTATCAATCACCTTCTTTCTTTCCACAGAATTTGAGCCTGATTCACTTACTTTGGAGCTTCTCCCCATTGCATGATGGGTTTCTTGGAACAATGGACTATATAACGCCAGTGTGATTCAGAATCAAAAAGACTAGCATTCCTGTCATTTAAAAGACCCAGAGCCATTGCTCTGATTCTCAACCCCTCATCCCTGTTACACTCCCAAGGACATTGACCTTACTCCTGCTGCTCTTGGTAGCTTGGTTTGCTTTATTCTGTCATATTCTACACTGGCAGAATCACTGTCTTCATGATTATATAAGGTCAATGATACTTGATATGGCTGAAGAGTCTATATGACAAGAGGAGAATGGCATACCTTAATAGAGTTTCCCAGCACTGTGTGGAAAACATTTAAAAAATGATCTGTATGCCTTGCAGTGCATCAGAGATGATGAAAGGTCTTGGACAACACCACTGGTACTGCATGGCACTAGAATGTATCAAAAGTGGATGAGAATAAAATATTCAAAAAAAGAGAGGTGTTGCTGACAAAAAAACCAAAGGCTAAACGAGCAGATGCCAGCATAGCTAAATGTCCACTAAGGATTAGTGAGAAGCCTCTAGTTGATAATACCTGATGTCTTCAACCTTATGGTATGAGGACTCCAAACTATTCATAATAAAATAAAGTTCTATTTCTTGCATACATGAGTCTTTGTTCTGCGTTCTGCAATTCATAACCTCTACACATGCTAATGAAAAAGTGATATTAGTCATGGAAGCATTCTAATAATATGCTTGCAGAGGGAACATTTTGTCTTTTTTCTGGATCAGGGTGATGGTAGTGAAATAAACTGTCTTCAGGAAATATTGTAATTGTATGGTCTTGAAACACATAAGATATTTAAGGGAAGTTCATTCAAGGCCTTGCATGCATTTTATTCCTCGCAGGGGTCAACATGACCAGAATCTGTGTATCAGCAATATAGGAAGAGAAGCTAAATTTTATTAGTTCCTCAAGAGGTAAGGAGGATGGGGAAAATGATGTACATTAAGCAAAATTATAAAAAATATTTTGGCCGATAAAATGTCAGTGTATTCAATCAATAATTAGTCCACGACTTTTTTATTGTAGAAGGAGTTGCATATTCCCATGTGTTTCCAGGATCACTGGGGTTATTTCCTGTAAGCAATAGATTCTCTTTTAAAGGAATTTACTTCCACTGAAAACGGTTATTTACAAAATAACCTTTGACAGCTACTGATTTAGATCTTCCATCATTGTGCACTCTCATTCTCAATTCACCTAGTTTTTTTTCTCATTTTAATTAGGTTTTTCCCATTAATTTTATGAGAGAAAATAACGAGTAGATCAATTAATGTGTGCAATCCAGTCAGTTTAAAAATGCAAAAAAAAAAGGGTATATTACAAGAACTTAAAAGCAAGGAGAAAGTTACATTTAAAAAAATCATAAGGCAACATGACATTTTGTTCTAACATACTAAGTGTCTCTAATAGTGATACCTGGAAACAAATTCAAAGAGAAACAATGAAAAAGAGAAAGTAATTTCATGTTTACAATCTATTTAAAGAATATGAAACAAGCATGATCTTTATTTTCTTATCAAAATACATAAGCAAAAAAATGTGAGAAAATTTAATAGAAATGTAGTTAACAACCATTTCTATTATACTATCTTAACACACATAAAGTTATATTCTAACTTTTATAATATGTGCATTTTTCCCAAATTTCCCTAGATAAAACGAACAGAGTATATGCTAGAAATAAGGAACATCCTATTACATTTAAAAAGACCAAAACTGTAATTATTTTTCTACTTTTGGATATGGTAAATTTACTAATGTCAATTTATTCTTACAAAATAAGGAAAATTTGTAAAAAAAAAAGTTATAGCATTGCAGAAAGAATGTGGTCTTTGAACAGGCCATTTAATCTCTGAGGCTTAGTTATCCCCTCTATCAATTAATAAGAAAATGCACCTTGTGAGAGTTTTTCCCTGAAAATTTGAGAAAATACATATTGCTGTTAGTACTCATATGTTCTATTAATTATATTGGTAACATCATCAAAGACACACATCTGAAAATTTTGACCTGTCAACATGAAAATAAGAAGGAAGGGCATTCAGCTAGTAGGAATTATTAAATATATGATTATTCTTTTATATGATGAAATATGTAGCTAGTAAGAATGACATTATGAGAAGTTTTAAACAGCCTTCGAAAATGAGGGACTACTTCAAGCTTTCTCCCTCAGTGACTCCCAGTGTAGCTTTCTCCAACAAGGCCAGGACGTCCAGTTCTCTGATACTTTTGTTTCTGATTCCTTCTTGTCTTCATTTACCTTTACACTCCAAATGGATTTTACTATTCAGTTCTTTAAAGAGTGTCATGTCCTTATCCTATGGTTTTTTTTTTTTTTTTTTTGCTTATTTTAAATCCATTCTAGACATTTCATTCTTGTATACTCTTCTGAGAAAACATAACAAAACATAGCAAAACTACCCCTCATTCAGCTTTTAACAATTTCCAGGCCTTGAGCCAACACTCACGTGCATTAACTTATACAATTTTTACCATCATTCTTAGGAGTATTTATTTAATCCTTGTAAAAATCTTGCCAACAACTTTTACCATCCCCATTTTTCAGATGAGGAAGCTAAAGTGCTGAGTATGTAAAGAAAGAGAACCTATAAGAAGTAGGGTTAGAGTGCATACTCAGCTTGACTGGCTCCAGAGCCCATGCTCTTTGAAACTAATTCCTGTAGTTTGAAACAATATTTCTAATCTAATCTGATCTGATCTGATTATTCATCATCCTCAAGTCTCTTCTGCTCTTATATTTGTTTTCCAAACTCAAGGTACATATATATACCTGCCCATAAAACACCTCTATCTGACTGCTTACAGATGTGGAATGCCTTAAACTGAGTGGGTTCGCGCCATTCTTTTGTCAAATCTAGAGTGTAAAACAATGTTTAGTGCAAAAGGGTCAAACAACAAATAATTGTTGATTACTTGATAAAGTCATTCTCTTCCTGTGATCCCTATCTTAATAGATAGAGCTGCTCTCCACTCAGGTAAAATCAGAAATGCAGATGTCATCTATCACTATTCTCCCTCCTCAATCTGCCACTGTCAATCAGTCACCAACTTCTCTTCTTTCCAAGCCATAGACTCATTCTCTCATCCACTTCTAGCCAACCAGACTGACCCCACCTCATCGTATCCACGCCAACACGATTTCTCACCTGGATTATTGCAGTTGTATCACTCACTCTTGCATCTTTCCAATGCGTTCCTCACACTTTAACCAAAGTAAGTTTATAACAATGATCATCAGATTATCACTCTCCTCCCAATCACTTTACACTCATTGCTCTTAGGGTAGAGTCCTAACTCTTTATCTAATTTGTAAGATGTTGCTTGATTAGAATTTCCTCCCACAAATTCATTTTGTGTCAAATTTTCCCACATTTTGTTACAGCTATATTAAAATTATTTTTGTTTGAATTCATCATATTTTTCTTCCCTTTATCCTGTGCGCTTTTTTGGTCTCTGTTTGGAACTAAACTCTATTCCACTTACAACTATGGTATTTCTTACCATTCTCATTGTTAAATTCTCAGTTTAAATCACATTTCTTCTGGGAAGTTTTCCTGATCCTAAAGATATCCTCTATGTGCTCCCCTTGGCATGCTATCATCCATGCAGCCATAAGAGAACTATAAAAATTTAAGGTAAATTTTTTTCCTAGTACCCTATACTGTTACATTCTGAGAATAAAAAGACTATGGTTCACATCATGAACCTGACACAAACTGGTCAACGATCTAAAAATAATGTAATTTTAAGACAAAACATTGACTGTCTCCATACACATGGCTATTAAGAAATCCATTGATATTCCTCTGGAACAGAACTTATTTCCCAAAGAAACAGGAAAGACAAAAATGCAATTGGAATTGACAGTCTCTAAGATCAACAATGGTACACGTGATGCTGAGAGAAACTGGTATGCCTTTAGCATTTGAGGCAGACAACAGGAAGGACATGCATGCATTTCTTAAATCCTGATGCTGAGGATTCTGGAGGCAGAGAGGTCACATAACTAAGTCCTGAAGTCCTTTCCTTTGCTGGCATTTGAGTTTCCAGTTTCCTCATACATCCTTTGGGAAATGTATGCAAGTCCTGAGGGCATTGATTAAGTGGCCCAACTCCTCCCAGAAAGAGGAGAGAGGCAAGAGAGATCAAGGAGTCTCCTGAGTGGCTGTACAGCTGAAACTCTGGGGAGGTAATTTCTACATACATGAGGTTTCTAATGAGGCTTCTTCAGGAGGCCATATGAGGGAATCATCTGGACTGAGTCTTCAAATGCGGCAACAATGAGTTGCTATTCCCATGACAATACTGGAGTGGGTGAGTGCCAAGAACAGAAATATAGAATGACTCCTCTCCTTACTGATGTTATATGCAGCCAAGGAAAGCATTAAAGAAGGTTTTATGGAGGCTTGCATAAAGGGAAGATCCCACTTGAGGTGGGAAACATCTACAGCATGGCCTTTTCCTTCTTTTCAATAAGTATATTCAAGAAATTGTGCTAGATTTGGCTTTTCTAATCTTGTATTCTTGAATTGGCTTCAGGAGAACTGTGAGTGCTGTAAATTAAATGTTACACTGTGTGCTCATAACCATTTTCTTCTGGGTAGAGGTTTATAGTTTTTATCAAATTTTAATAGCAGACCTCGAAACACACACGTGTGTGTGTTTACTTATGTGTGTGTGTTTACACTTTCAGAACTGCTTTCTTAGAAAGGGTATGGGTAATTGTCAGTGAGACTCATTAAGAAAAATCCTGAAACTTTGGCCTTGGCCCATCACCCTAGGGTCTATGGGGGCCTATCCCCTATCCCACTCAGGAGGAATGGAGTATATGTGGAGAGCAAACAAAGGGAGGAAGAATCACACTGTCTTCTCTGTTCACTTGTTTATTTGGACTTAGTGATGAATTTACTATTTTCTTTTGA